AATACAAGAGTTTTTTCTTTTCGAAATCCGAATAGAAAGGGTACAGGTTGTATTCGAATACAACGTGTAGGACCCGCACCGTTTCAATTTCGAAAAAGGACTACCCGCACYGTTTCAATTTCGRAAAAGGACTGYGGCCTCCTYGGCCTCCTACTCGCAGCTACCGGTCCTACGCGGTCCTGGACCAAAACCCGTGCGGTACTACCGGTCCTGCAGTTTCAAATAAGATGCCACCACCCCCTAAACTGCCATGCATTGTTTTTCCAGCCTTCCAACGACCGTATAATGAATGACGACGAAAAATGTTCTCAGGGGGGGAAAATGCAACCCTGACGGGCTGCGAATAAAACGCACCCCTGACGGGATGCGAACTATACCGCAGCCCAGCTACAACTGTGAAATCGGCCTAAGGAAGAGTATAGTTCCCCAACCACTTTTTCATAGATGCAGTAGGAAAATTCCTACGTGTGTGTGTGACGATCCGCCAAGATGCGGGACTGAAGAGAGCTTGCGACGCAGGTGCAGGGTTCAGGGTTCAGGGTTTAGGGTTTGACGCCGTTAGCGCTCTGGTGGTGATGGTGAAGTCGGAGTTGTAAGAGCTGGATCCCACTGCCTGGTGCTCACTGCGAAGTCAAAGCACCAAGCAGACTTGGGAGCATTTGGCAGGAACTCCCAGCTGCAGCAGCAGACTGGCTGGCAGGTAGCTGGCCCTACCAAGATACCCGCAGAGAAAGATGAGCAATCAGCGGCCCCAAGCCTTGCGCCGCCATGGGCGCGCTTCCGGGCAGCCCTCCACCCCATTGCGCTGCATCCTGTGCGTACCTTTAGCAGTGGTAGGTGTTCTCTCCATTTGCGCAATAGTTCTTTCCTTATCAGGAAAGAACAGCAATGCGGCTTGGTTGTCATCTCCCACCAACCTCTCTGACAGGTCAGCGAGGTCACAACACAGGCCAGACGAGAGATCACAGAGGCCAAAGGAGTGGTTAGAAGAGAGGTTAGAAGAGATGTTAGAAGAGAGGGCACTGAGGTCAGAGAGGTTAGAAAGGTTGGCAGAAGTTGAGAACCAAATCCAATTTCTGTTTCCTGACAGAGAGAAGTCAGCGAGGTCAGAGCAGAAGTCAGAAGAGAGGTCAGTCCAATTTCTGTTGCCTGACAAACAGAGGTCAGAGAGGTCAGAGGAGACGTCAGAGAGGATAGAGAGGTCAGAGAGGACAGAGAGGTCAGAGAGTTCAGAGAAGAGGGCGGGGCAGATGGTAGCGAAGCCGCAGGGGAGAGGACGAGAGGGGTTCTCCTCTGCTTCGCAGCCGGAGGTGCCAGAGCGAAAACACAAAGGAACCGTTGAGCATAATCAGCGTGAGGGCGGGCAACAAGTCAGCCGCCAACGTCTCATTGGTCAACAGGTGAGCGGCCAGCGCGTCTCTGGTCAACAGGTCAGCAGCCAGCGTGTCAGTGGTCACCGTGTCAGCGAGCATAATGTCAGAGAAGGGCAGTCCACATCACAGCAGGGAGCGAGGAATCACACAGATGAGGAGGAGAGAGACGATGGATTGGGTAGTTCCGGCTCCTCCCCGCCTGTAGTTTCACGACGACCATCTTTGTCGTCTGTCAAGTCCCCGTCAGAGTCGTCATCATCTCACGGACGCTCTGTCTCCAAATCTGGAAGCTCTGCGTCCAAATCTGGGAGCTCCTCGGGCTCCATAGGTGTGACCTCAGAGTCCATAGCTAGTAGCTCCAACTCCATTGCTGGGAGGTTGGAATCCATAGCTGGAATGTCTAACTCCATAGCAGGAAGGTCGGACTCCGAAACTAGGACGTCGGCCCTCGATTCTGCCGCCAGGGCACTCAACGAGACGCTCAAGATGTTGCGGTCACCCGCTCAACGGAGATCACCTATGAGGTGAGTTTCCTATTCTCTGCTCCTATGATCCCTCCTCTCTCTCTCTCTCTCTCTCTCTCTCTCTCTCTCTCTCTCTCTCTCTCTCTCTCTCTCTCTCTCTCTCACAACGGTCGTCCGCTCAACGCGTTCAGTCTATGCGTGCGACGCTCAAGATGTTGCGGTCGCCCGCCAGGACACTCAACTTGACGCTCAAGATGTTGCGGTCGTCCAATGTACGCGCACGTGGGTCTGCAGAGGGTCACGTGAACTCTGAGCAGGCTAGTTTTGTCCTTTCCGAGAGAAAGGGGCTATTTCTGTCCCTCATCCTGACAAAAGGGGTATCTAGTCAGTATTTTTGTCATCCAGGGTGGTCTGCGACTTTGTGTATCATCGAAGTTCGCCCAGCGGGGCCTGTCACATACTGCTCCTCAGACACTCTTACAATCTCCCTCTCTCTCTCTCTCTCTCTCTCTCTCTCTCTCTCTCTCTCTCTCTCTCTCTCTCTCTCTCTCTCTCTCTCTCT